CAGGTTTATGACACGTTGATAACTACTTCTCTAGATGAGACTTTAGATATATTTCTTGCTTAATTCAAAATTTTATGTGGCACCCGTAAAACAAAAAAGCCATGCAGTCTTTTTGTCTGGTGCCAGGCAAAGGTGGAAGAACAAACAAAAGGAAAGTCTCTGTAGTAATGCAGGGAGCACTTGTCTCCATTTAAGCTAGAAGCTAAGAAAAGGATACTGTTTTGTTGCCAAAATTATTCCATCTAATGCAAATATAAACTCCCTTTTTTGTCTGGATTCCTGCCCAGAGCTGTTTCTTTCAACTTTCATTATGTTTAAAAATAAAAATTGCATCGGAGAGAAGATATTTTCGACAAGGTTCTGTAGCATAGCTCTCCCCTCAGTTAATTTGTGTCAATTATGCTGTAGATCCTGATACTTCCACAATTTACAGGTTTCTCACTCATGCATCATTGTAGCCAATATATATTGCCAAGTTATATTACCATCAATCTATGAATAAAGAGAAACTGTCATAAACCAGAATAGATGGTGGTTTGTTCTCACATCCCATCACTCTAAATTGTCTGTATATTTAGGAATAAGGGAAGGTGTTAATTTCACAGCAAAATTTTGGATCAGTTCCTACTTAATTATGGTACCTTCCCCTTGCCTTGCCTAAATGCATTTAATCCATTCACAGTAGCCCAGTTTTCACTACCTTTTATATTCTGACATACTCCCAGGCCTTCAAGATCCCTCTGCCAACAGGGAACAGAGGCTTCTCTTTCAGTTTCCAGCTCTCTGTCTCTCTTCATTTCCCTTAAGGATGGCCAAAATCTGCCCTGTGAAATTATCACTGACTTGCCAGCTGGGCCAGGCACAACAGTGAGGGAGCTCAGCAGATCCAACTCCAGATCATTTCTGCCAAAGAACGACATCCTCCCACAACTCTTCCATAAAGAGGTGCAGGGGTTTTAGCTGACAATTAAATGCAACAAGGGTTTGGCACTATATATCTGTCAGAGGTACCTTGTCTCTGAAGACCAGAGCACTCTCTTACACCTTAAAGAAGTTGTGCTATAACCACATAAGGAAGACCATCAGTATAATTCATCCTTAAAATGCCAGGCAGGTTGGGTGAGCTTTCCAGGTGTTGCACAGCCCACAATGGCTGCTGTGCACTTGCCCTTAGAGATGCCACATACAAATATTCAGGGTGGACAAAAGTAAATATGTATAGTAATTACAGACTAGAGCAGTTCCAGCAGCCAGTAACATAGGTATGCAGCATGGAAATACAATTCTAATAGCTGCTGCCCAAAATGCTTCCATCAGGAGCCCTGGGAACATGGTTAAGAAAGATACTTTCTTAAGAAATATACCAGAATAAGACAAATACTTTAAAGGCAGTATTTTTGGAATATTTTTTCCAACTTAATTTCTTTGTTCCTTTCTTCCAACCAGTGTCTTATTTTTTTCTTAATTTTATGGGAAATTTAACGTTTTTTTTCTCTTCTTTCCCTTCTCTCTCTCTTTTTTTTTTTTTTTTTTTTAAAGGACCCAAGAAGCAAAGGTAAGTCAAGTTGATAAATGAGAAAACTGGTGTCTGCCACTATGGGTAGTGGACATGCTTCAGAAAAAAGCCCATCCAAAGTGGTACTTTCCTCACCCTACACAAATATATTTTCTTTCTGCTTTGGGTTTCTTGACTCCTGCAGAAAAAGAGTAGTGACATGCTACTACACCAAAAAATAATCTTGCTTTTTGAACATATCAAAACATGAGGATAATAGACTCTTATCAAGTGACTTGGCAGTTGAAGACCCACTTTTTGGGCAGACTAACTCAATTCTTCAAGGCTGGGTGAAGCCACAGCTCCACCCAAGTCAGTGAGAACTCTGACACATTTCTTTACAAAATTAGTATGATTTCACTTTTCGCTGGTGCCCTGTGTCAAGACATACTTGTGATACACTGAAGTTAAGAGTCTCTAGATGACAGAACTGATGTTCTCAGCATCAATACATCCCAAAGTGCTGAAACTTCATGAAATTGCATGTACATCTCTTGAGGAGAATGGGGACATTCCAATGTTGTGTCTTGGTAGTTGATTGTACGTCCATATCCCATTGGTTTTTACAGGTGAAGTCACACCAGAAGAACACTTTTACAGCAAATACCCCCAACCAACCAATTTGCACTTGTGATGCATTGAGCTGGACAAACCACATCTGCCTCCTGCTTTGTTCAGAGCTGTAGTATCTACACACGGTGCAAGCAACTCCTACAACACAGCTTACTTTGTCTACAGCACACAGATACTTACACAATATGAGCCAGGTTTAGAGGTTTTTCAGGCTGGTCAGGGAACATTGGGTGCAAAGGTTCACGGCTGGAAGCACAGCTTAAAGACTTGCTAAGTGCATTAGTTAGCTTCTTAGCAGGTGATTTCTGGGAGGAACAAGGAAGGTAGAGGTAATCTGGACAAGTAAGGTGCATACTGTTTCTGCTACAGGAAGCACAAAACAACAGGAAGCTCTAACAGTTCACAGATCTATGGACTGACATCCCCCTTGCCCCACTCCCACGCTGAGAGTCTGGTAAGGCAAAGAGTGGTGCATTTGGGAAAGAATTACTGTCACCTTCAGCAACCTTTAGAGCAGGCTGGGGGTGTATCTATAGGGAAAATGACCATGGCTTTTTTGTAATGCTGCACTCAGGCATTGTTGAACAAAGAACAGCACAGTTTGTGTCACCTGGACTGGTGCTGGCTTGTACCTCACCAGCTTGGGAATGCAAGGAGAACAGATCTGAGCATGCTTGTCCCTATAGATACACCGTATGGGACACCATTTCCCTCCTAGATATGGGCCAGGCGCCAGGCTGCTTTGTTCTTCTCCCTCACTAGTATTTCCCTCCTCACCTCCAGTACCCTGTACTGTTTAGCTGCTATTACAAAGCTTCTCTTCCACCTCTTGTGGCCACTGACCACTGGAGAATGGAAATTTGAGAAAAGGGCTTGCCAGGAATTGCCCCACTGTGGCAACAGCACTTCAAAAGAGACTTATGTACTGTCACTGTCCCCAAAAGATGGGGGGGAGGGGGGGGGGGGTCCATGCAGGAAGCGTAAATTTCATCAAGTGTAAAAAAAAAAAATAAATCAGTATTTTCTGCTTTCTGTTTTGTTTGGAGACTAAGCAATTGAGAACTAAACTCAGCTTCCCTTCTAAGCGATCTCTGAGAGCCAAGATGTCTCTTAGGCTGTGTGAGGGATTCTCAGGGAATTCAACTCATCTCTCTGTGATTCAGTTTTTTGCCAGTAAAAGAGGGTTAGTGATCCTTATACTGTCTCCTCTCCCAAAACACAGCTTGAGAGGCTGAAATGGAAAAATCTTCCTGGAATTTGACAGAAAGGGTTTTGTATTTGCGCATATACATCCTGCATCGACTTGACTGTCACCAAGTTTATAATGAAATATTTCTACTAGAGAAATCCAACCTAAATACGTAAAGTTCAAGATCTTTCTCTTTCATTATAAATGCAATTTCACTCTGAATTGAGAACAGTTGATTTCCACTGCACCCATAAACACTTCCAATCTGCATGTGGAGCTCAATACCAGTGCATTATGGAGAATGCTAACCAGGTTTGAACAAATGCTAACGAATGCTACAGAAAGGCAACTTCAAACTTGAAGCAAAACATTTGTTTCTGGCAAGGAAACATTTGAAAGCACTAGGCATGTGGTCACATTTTTTGTCTTCCACTGAGCAGAAATCTTAAGTTTTCCAATTACTTCCTACCTATAATTACAGCTCCCTGGCTACAGCAAAAAATGGATTTTATAGCACAAATTGCTGCTCGGAATGGAGTCTGAGCTACATAGTGGGCACTTTTCCTATTCAGATACTAAACTCCAGCCATTTGTGTCTATGCAACAAGCAGCAATTAGGACCCACAAAAACAATTACAGATGCAGGTCTGCTAGGATACAGTGCAGGGCTTGTATGACTGGCATACAGAGCAAACCACGTCCAATTTAACCCTTGCCTGTTCCATCAACAGAAAAGCAGACATTTTAAAAGTATTAAAATTCAGAACTTTGTTAAATAATAAACTCAAAGCACCATAAAAATGGGAGCTTTTGTTGTACACATAATTTCCCCCTTTTTTTTTTTAACAGTATACTTTTGAAATGTTCGAGATTAATAAGGTATTTTCTGCTGATGTCTGTGTTTGAATCCTGAAGGCTTTTTTAACCAAGGGGTTCAACTGGGGCTTTGCTTCAGTCCATGGAAAGCTGAGTCCACAAGTCTCTTGCCCTTCAGGGAAGGTTAAGGTTCCGGCAGCTGTTGATATCTCCCTTTCAGCATAGGAAAAACACTGCATTATTTTGATTAACAACAAAAAGACTGAAATGAGCTTTTCTCTCTATAGTAAACACTACTGTGGATCTAAGCCTGTGACCACGCTCAAATCTACAGTGCCAGGATCGTTCCAAATGCTACGCATATGCTGCAGCCACTCAACTGAAAATATTGATGAATGAGCATTAAGTATTCATCATTTCATTTAGACGTAGCCAAATAGAGCAAGCCAATGAGGATTTTACCGTGAGTCCTGTGGGAACAGGAGAAGCTGCCATGAGCCTGCTGCCCCGCTGCCAGCCCCTCCTGCGTTGCCCTCACCGCGGCACGCACCGTCACAGGCGCCCCAGATCCTCACCCAGAAAAGACCATTCCCACCTCCACGCTTTCCCGACGGCTCCCAAGCCTCCCAGACAGGCTCACTAATCCAAAGTGCCAGCCCAGCTCCCAGCTCGCCTGAGCCAGACAGCTGCCCAGAGCTGTGGCTGGGGGCTTCTCTGCTGGCTGGAGGGCAAAGCAGTCTGCAGCGAGGCAGGAGCCTTTCCTTACCCATGACGTGTACTCTTTCATTTGGTGCTGGTTGCTGTGGGAACCGCTGGCATGGCCCCTCCAGAAGCAGTCCTGACAGAGCTGGTAATTGTGACACTGCTGGCAGCGGTAGCGAAACCCCATCATGCTCTCGCTGTGGCAGTAGGAACACTCGACGGGGTGGAAGACTGTGCGGGAGAAAGAAATGGTGAGCCAAAAACCAAAACAAAGAAACACCTAGAAAAAATTTATGGACAAACCCCGAACTGAAGGGGGTCCCTTCTTTGTTTAAAGCAATCTGCAGCGTTGGATGCTGCTGACAGCCCTGACCTGAGAAAATACAGCAACCTGTGCTAAGCTACTGGCAACGTGGGGCACTAAGCCCTTCTTCACTTCTGAGCTGGTATCCATACCTCCTGCTCACAGCAGCAAAAAAAGTGTGTGTTCAGTGTTCAACGTCTAACAGAATACATGGCAGAGTACAGAGGAGGGCCACGAAGATAAGGGTTCTCCTATGAAGACAGGCTGAGAGAGTTGTTCTGCCTGGAGAAGAGAAAGCTCCAGGGAGTCCTTAGAGCAGCCTTCCAGTACCTAAAGGGGCTACAAGAGAGCTGGAGAGGGACTTTTGTCAAGGGCATGTACGGACAGGACAAGGGGGAATGGGTTCACAGAAGGAAGCTAAGTTTAGATTAGGTTATTTCCATGAAAATCTCTACAGTGGGGATGATGAGTCAGTGGATTGAGTTGTCTGAAGAAGTTGTGGATGACCCATCCCCAGAAGTGTTCAAGGCCAGGCTGGATGGGGCTCTGAGCAACCTGGTCTAGTGGAAGATGTCCCTGCTGGGGAGTTGGAATTGCATGATCTTTAGGGTTCCTTTCAACCCAAACTATTCTATGACAGGAAATTTCTGTGTGGGAAAATCCACTGCAGCTGAACCACTGGGAGAAGCTGAATGTTTTGTTGTGCTTTAAGCAGCTGAAGTGAGGCATCTTGGAGGAAAAGTCAAACTTATCTACATGACTACTGAAAGGATGAAAGTGTACTTAGATGTCTTATTGTCTTTTAATTACTGCTTTCTCATCTGTACAAGTGGTGTCATTTAGGTACCTATATATGGAGCTGAACACGTAGTTTTGGATGCCCAGATTTGTAAAGCTGGCCTTTGGAGGGACCTGTTCTCTGTTCAGAAGCAGATAGTGACAAGGAGGCAAGTCACTGAGAATGCTAAAGCACCACTGAGATATTTGGAAGCACCTTACGGGCAATACTGCTATTTCTGTTCCTCCTTCCTCACTACAGCATGTACCCAATTTACCGCAGGGTACTGAACATCCCCTTGTTCCCAAGCACCCTCTGCCTTTATGTCATAAGGTTCAGTCTGGGAAAATTTGGATCAGTGCTGAATGTGTCAGGGGTTTAACTTCTTGCCAGACTTTTGCATCAGGAAGGGTTTCTGCTCTAGGCTAGGAAACACTGTGAAACTGGTGAGGGACAGGGATGGATGACAAGAGTTTGAGCAAGGTGAGATAGATAGGTTGCTCTGTAGCCAAAAAGGACTTGGGAATATCACCTCACCCACTTTGGTGCCTTTCAGTGGAAGAGGGATATATTTAGCACAGGAACACTTACAACTTCTCCTTTTCCTTTTATCACCAAAACTGGATGCACACCATCCACAGGGAATTTCCTTTTCAGAGGATATGGTCTGGCAGTGTAGACTTAGGAGTAGATCCCTCCTAAGGACTTTTTGGCTGGTGTTTTGCACTGCACTGACATCTCCTGCCAGGAATACTATATGAACGGAAACTGCCAAGCTGCTCCCTCTCTGCTGCCATATGTCATAGCTAATAAAAGTTGTGGTCTTGACAGTTTACCAAATATATATGTGTGAATGGATGAAGTCCTATTGCTCTTTGCTTATTCAGAGCACAGGAAGAGACATGATCAGGTTAACTTCCTGAGCACAGCACAATTTAAGCCATGTTCCTGGCTGAATGACCAACAAACTTCTTCAAATATTTTACCAGTCACTGTAAAAATAGCTCATGGAGTCAATGAACCCAGTACAGTAGCTTTTACAAAACTATCTACAGAGTGTGAAAATCATCACACCAAAGTTTATTCTTGTAATTGTGTTTTGGCAGCATCTCTTTACTTACCATTTTCAACATTTGCCAGTCGATGCAGAAGTGGTAACCACACTAGACACTGCGGCGGGGGATCAGACATGAGAGTATCCAAGAAAGTGTTTAATGTGACTTTTTTCTGCTCAAACAAGCAAACAAACATGCACAAAAAAAGAAAATCAGTAATTAGACATCTCAAAATTATTTTATCTCGTCTCTAGAGAAACACTTGGGAATAAGTTTCAAACACTGTTTGCCTGTAAACCTGATTTACTAAAAAGAACAAGTGATACTAGCAAAGCTTTTCCCGACTATTTTTAGTCAGTACAATGATACAACTGATGACTAGAAGTCATTCTCACAAGGCTGGGTTGGAGACACTTAGCTCCCACTCACTTCCAGACTCTTTTCTAGAGTCACTGCCTGAAGATGCTTTGTGGTTAAGGGTGGCATTCAACTCTGCATGTTCTCATCTGTTTTGAGTATCGTGTGACAAGTACAAGTGCATGTAGGCTATCACTGTGTATGACCAATTCTCGAATGAGAAGTCACTGCTGACGGCACTCAAAAAAAGAAAATGAGAGAAAATACTGGCAAGGGAGTACAAGTTAGAAAAAAATACAGAATAAGGAGAGACCACTGCAGGCAATTTGTTACTGCAATTTAAGAAACTTTGCTTGTCTAAGGAGCAATGGCAACTAGTTATGGGTGAGTTCTGACTGTGTGATGTCAAGATTGCATATGCTCAGGGACTGCAACTGCTCCTGAACTCTTCATGCATTTAAGCACTTAAGAGATCTATGCCCCTTTAAATTTCAAAGAGATTTAAACTCCAAGATATCCCTGTTTATTTAAAAAATGCAATCTAGGGCCTTAAATTTCTTAGGTGTCTGGAAAAAGTAATTCCAAATCTTAGTTCATTTGTTTTTTTCAATCAGCAAATGAGCCTTCCTTAAATAAATTTAAGATGCAAAAATATCGACCCCTGCTGAGAATATATGTAGATATATTTTATAGACATACATATTTAAGTAGTATCCTCATATCCAAAGGGATGGATAAATTTTCATATCTGATTGCATAAGCTGCTGCTTTAACTTGCTAAAGAACTATGATTACCCCATGAGAAAGTTAAGCAGCAGTTATGCAGTGACATGTATCATCTCTGCATGTTGTGGAATTCTTTTCAGAGCTGAGATTTCCAGATGGAGTATCTGTGCTCCATTTATACACAATTACCACCAGATGTAAATAAAAACATTATTTCTCTTATACACTGACTGATCAATGGAAAACATCTCACACTGCAACAGTCTCAGGGATGAAACACAGCAAGATATTTGGAAATATACAAAGATGCTTGTCCATAGGAGAAAACACCTCAGGCTACAGTGAAAATGGGCTTGATTCTTTAATGAACAAAACCAGCCAGAATATGAGCTCTAAATCTCACTGGAATACTACCTTTCCCCACAATAACTGCAGTGTGAAAGTCCAGTCAAACACCACCACCTGCTTGTTGTATGAATTATCTTCCCAGCGATGGAGAGCAGATAATCACTTCCCAAATACGCATCCTATGACTGTAAGCATCAGCTCAGAGAAAAGGATCTTTCTTTTGGAGATGTGGATTTCTTTTTCTGCTGTGGATGCTTGGCACAGCTTTGCTGACCAATACTGCCAGTAAATGCCTGTGTTGTCTGAAGCAGAACTTGAAAGCATCGGGGGAAAAAAAGGTGGAAGGAAGCCCAGGAAAAGAAAGGACCTCCAGTGCCCCATTACTGCAGAGCTGAGTAGCCTTAGATCTTCCCTCTGCTCTTGAAGAGATACACACAACCAGTCTAACAAGCAACTAGATGAGGAAACAATAACAGCTCTTCCACGATGCAGTGGGCTTTTGAAAGCAGCTATAACTTTAAAATCTGATTGGCACCAAATAAGGCAATGACAGCTTTATGGCCAAGCAGCTCTGGTGATCACTGATTTTACGGATTAGAGGAAAAAGCAGTGTCCCTTTAAAGGACACTGTCAGAGCAATTTCCATACATTTTCCTCCTGCAATTTTCTTTCAGCTGCTGGGAAAGTTTAAACTGAAAACTGTTTTCTAAATATATACTACACACAGATGGAGTCTAGGTTTGTGGAATAACACTTAGACAAGTGCTAAGAAAATGCAGTTAGCGTCTATCTTTTTAGTTTGGGATATTTTTTTTTTTTAAAGTGTTTTTTTACAATAATAACAATACTGTTTAATACAAATACAGTATAACATCACACCAATCCTACCTATGAGGGAAAGTGGTGATGATAAAACTCCTTTTTGAGCCACAGATTTGTATTCTGAAGCATTAAGTCACTTGCTCCAGCACATGGACTTTTCTGTCCCAAAAATTTGCTGATGAACAAACACTCTTGTTTCTACTTTGAATAGACATTCAATCTAGCAGTGGTTCACTGGCAGAGCAAAATACATGGTTGGATCAAGCAAACCAGTAGAATTTGGAATAATAAAACATTTCTGAAAAAGGAAAAACCCTTTCAGATGTAAACTGAATGGATTTGACACCATAACCAGATAATTCCCAGAATTTTTTATTTCCCTGAAATGGAAGAATCTCTATATATCAGGGGGTTGAAAGGCTTCTGGAAAGCAAAAGTGACCCATTGTGAGAACGAGTGAGAGTGCCAAACTTATTCCAAGCTATCAACTTCTGATTATGCTTCATGTGATATAAGAAAGAATGACTTGTGTGTGACTAAGACTGTAAATACCATTTATCATGATGTCATCAAGATCTGAATTTCATTTCAAAACACTGGTTCATCCCTAGTGAGGATGTAATGAGAACTACATAAAGTTAGTTTAAGTGAAATATCAGACTAGATTTACAAGAGTACTTGGCTGCCTCCAGATGCAAAACTGCAGCTTTGTAAACCTGCTGTGTACCTACAGCAGTCAGAGACTTAAGTCTTGTTAGCTCTGAGTGGAGCTTGTAAACAAAAACATCTAATGCCTGCTTGCAGATGTTGTTTCTAAAGGTACCTTAATGCATTTGGTCCACTCAGCTGGATGCAATCTCAAAGCAAGTGCCATTTCTGATGGCTACTGAGATAAAAAATGAGGTCTGAATCACATTTTTTCAGGAAAAGAAATTCCTTTTTTCATCTATAATAACAGCATGTCCAACATGCAAAGCTTGAATACCCTGTTCCCATGCAAGAGCATTCTTTCATTATTTTAACACAAAACTACCAGGAGCCACTTCACCATGTAAATTCTAAGTCTCCCTCTGTGAAACAAGACTAGTTTCACATATGCAAACATTACCAATTAAAATGAATTGGGAGATGACTCAACAAACGAATTTCAACATCTTTCAGTTGACTGGAGTGCCTATTGATTAGTGATGAAACTGAGAGAATACAAAAAATGAAACTCTATTTTGCATGAAAATGACACTATTCCTGCTCCATTGAACTTACTTGTTCAACAGTATTCAGTTAGCAAATGAAAGGATAAAGAGACGGAAAATACAACTTTATTTCTAACATTATCCCAGTTTCAGCATATTCCCTTACTACATATTTATGGAATTATATGGTGTGATGTGTGGAAAGAGCCAGAGGAATTGTCTCTTTCTCCACTGGAGAACTGGACAACCAGACACAATTACGGAATTTTCAGAAGTGCTATGTAGTAGCTGAAGCTAATGTGCGGTACTCAGTGTACCTATCGAGTCTTTTGAGCTGCAGAAAAATCTTGTATATTCTTCAGCATAAATTCACTGCTTTCCTGACCCTATCTCACTGGTGTTACTGGTAAGAGACTAGGGATTTTCTAATACATACTGATTCCCATTTACAAAAAAGTTTTAAGGTGATTTTCTTCTCACTCCTAAACTTGTGTGTCTATTACTAGAAAAATCTGAAGTTTGATTTTTTTTTCTTGGTGGAACTTCAGCTTTGTATGCAGAAGTTAGTCTTCTGTATGTTTATGCCAACACCAACTAAGTGGAGTGGAGGACTGCATGTCTTGGAGTACAAATATATATAATACCTAAAGGTATATAAGTAATTGGTGCTTAAATTAGGAAGTTCCCTAATTTAGGAATATGTAAATCGAGATCCTGCTCTGAATCCCATTTTGACTAATCCTCTCTCTTCATGGTTATATGGGGAACCTATGGAGACCAGCTTCCTGTTGAAGGCAACAAACCTACACACCAGAAATCAGCAGAGTGGAGCTTCCCCTCATCCAGCCCTGTGTTTCCTGGGCAAATATGCATCTATATATAAGACAGAGAGAGTCTTGGCCTGCTCAGAGGGGTGACTGAGACCCTGTGTCTCTTCATTTACCTGTTGTGAGAAACAGGATTTTGCCGACTGCTCAGTGTAACCAAATGAAGGCCCCTCGAAGACAGCGGTGGGCAGCTTGAGAACCTCACGTAGAAACATGTCGTACCTGCCATAAACCATCATCCCGCTGGAGTCAGAAATCATGGAGAAAATATCTGAGGGGGGAAAAGAGAAGGAAAGGACACAGCAGCTTCAGTGTGAGCTAGAGATGTGCTCTGAGTTCAGTATCATCTGGTTTGAAAGACAAGTAGTAAACATGTTTGGCTTATGGAAACCTCCGTTATTACTGCATCTTTATTTCTGACAGCTTTCAATAGAAAACAAGAAGAAATATTTGCATATTAAGAAGTAGCTGATTTTAATACTAAAATAGTCCTGATTTGTTTTTCTTTGTGCATGGTCATTTCTAAGCAAAGTCTGATGCATGGCATGAGGCAGTAAATTAATCAGATAAGAAGGCTCTGATTTGACAAGATACGCTACATCAGCTTTTTGCCTACTGCCAGTTTATCGCGTCAAATCAAAATCTTGACAATGGGTTCATTAAGTCAGTTATTATTCTCTTGGACACATAAAGCAATGAAGGTCTTGCCAATGTGTTATTTTTCACTCTTCCCCCTTTCTTATGTATAAAAATATCACACTTTTATTATTGCAGTGATGTCAGTTTGTCAGCCCTTACTTCTCTGCTTGTTTAAAATTATCCTCTGCTTAGCAGGAGATCTCTGACTAAAGAACATTTATTGTTTTTCAGGCTGTCATGTCAGCTGCTTCATTTCCAGGAACCTGGAAGGGAAATTCTGACAACAGGACTCCAGGACTGCTGACCCAAAAAATCATCACTGTACTTCAGCCCTCCACTGGATGGACCCAGTTCCTATTCTACAATCAGCTTAGGGAACAAATGGTGCACAATTATAATTTGTAACTTTAGCTCAGTCTGTATTTGAGTTTCTATATAGAAATAATACCTTAAAAATGGCACTAAATCTGGAAGACTAAATCAGCACTTGGGATTTCCAGTTGTCTACTGTAAACAACTATAATTTGTAAATTCAGTTTTCTTGGGGTCAGATAGAAGGCTCAGTGGAAACTGAAGGTTTTTGGTCAAAAAATCTGGAAAATGGTGTTCTGGACCTGACATCATATGACTAAACAGAAAGTCTTCCATTGCAGCTACAAGTAAACGATGTATTTGCTGTTGGGGAACTGGAAATAAATCATACAAAATGAGAATCTGTTCATCAAAATACATGGCATAAAAATGCCCTATGGAAGAAAATATAAGTAGTACATAAATACACTTGTCTTCTATGTGTGAAAAGACAAAGATGTTATTAAAAAATAATCAGAAGAAATTGTTAAATTATACTTCATTATATTAAGGCACTTATTTGTATTCCGAGTTCAATAACTCAAATGGAAAACCAAAATCTACCAATAAGAACTTCAATGTATGCAATTTGTCCTTAAAAACCTCAGTGTAAAGTTCAACCAAGCATGTAGTGGAATTTACTTAGAGACATACAAAGGGCAACTCCCAAATCCAGCCAAGAAACTGTAGTTTATCCTAACTCCCTCTTTTCTACTTGTACTGTTAATTATCCAGCAATAACAATTTTTAACAGGTAAAAAATATCACTTACATCTTAATTTGTCCATGATTTTTCCTCCACAAAGAGTTGCCAAGGCCATTTTGACAGCAAAAACGGAAATTTTACCGTGTCCTTCCCTGTTCAAAAGTAGAAAGTAGACATATTTTACATGTCCATTTTATGAGAATCTGTTCGATTAAAATGCGTATTTCTGACATCACTTACTGTAATACATGATATATGTGGATTGACATACAGAGAACTAAGTCCTTTAAAAAGAAAGTTTGTTCTGTGGAAACACTTTTCTGTAAAGATCTCAGAGCAAATTTATTATGTATATAAAGCTCAGTATTAAACTTTATTGCATTATACACTACGGTGATAGTTATTACTGTTATTTGTGATACAGTAGCACTGGGAGACCTATCACACTCATGGTTTCCCTATCCTAAGTCCTTTGGGAATTTTTTGGACCTAGAAGATTGCAAATAAATGAAAAAATCAGCACTGGGAACGATGATAAAAAAGCACACAGGGCTCACATCATTCCACAAACTCCATCTGTACCTGTCAGTAGGTCCTGACAATTGCCTTTTAAATGATACACCTGACCCCCAGGAACCTTGAAGAAGGACTTTGCTAAAAAATGGGGAATATGCCTGCATCCAGAATGAGTGAAGGACATATGCTGTGATATGGAGAAGAGTTTTGTCCCTGGCTTGTTCAAGGGGAGGCTATACCTGGCTACTTGCAATTTACAATGCCTAAATGCTAATAAACCCCATATTCACCCAAGAGTTTGTCTTGGGGCAAAAAAGGCACATTGCCAACTCTTCCCCCAACTGTCCCGAAGCTTGCAATGGCTTAACTTTATTATTCCTCTCATTCCTTATTTTCCTTTTACAGCCATGATTCTCCTCAGTAATCACCTACCATCACAGAAAGACTGGTTTATTTGAGCTGCAGAAGTAAAACATGACTTCACCCACTGCATGGCACACTTAGCCCCCCCAAACACCTATCAGTCCCAGTTTAGTCTTCAGCCCCTTTCCAAAGATGAGAATGCTCTCCTAAGTTCATCTGCTTCTTAATGTTAACCTCTTGACATCCAAATGGTGAAATGTGTTTTTTCTTGGAATTTTCTGAATCTTACTACGGCAGTAGGAGTCCAGAGTTGCACAGGATCAACTTCTATCCACCATCCAAACTCCATGGCATTGCTTCACAGTTTCCCACATTAATTAATGATATTAATTAATGACACCAGTGAGGACAACGTAATCATGCTTTAAAAAAGAGACAACCAGTATTTGTGAGATTAGCAAAATGGCAGCCACATTTCCTTCTAAATTCTGACAGGATTAATGATGTGGCTAGATAATGAAATTTTGTATAAGTTTTTGGAAATTAAGTTTCTGTGATCTTCAGTCTACCCTACTAGGGAGCACAATTCTATAAGGGATTTCTTGTTTAATGTATACAATCATGTCCTACGTAGGATGGTCTAACTGCACTGGCAATAGTAGTACACAGAAATTTACCTTTTCATGAATATTTCTAAAATTACTCTGTTCATTGTTACTCACAATTTTAAGGAAGAAAATTGCATCTGATCAGACCTAAAAGATGAATTGACTCTGGAAAGACATGGAACCCGTGACTGTGCCTCTTTCTCTGCTAATCCTAAACCAGACTAATGCAGTAAAAATACATGTAAGACAGACATGAATGGTATACTAACATCTGTACATCGATGCATGCTACATGTTTCACTGCTACATTCATTAAATCACTCAGACTTTATAATATGAGTAATTTCCCTAAGCTTGACTAGTTAATAATCTTTAAAGCTCATTGAATTAGATTTAGTTCTACATCAGTGTAACCCATGATTCTAAATATAAATTCTAATTATCCTTTCCACTCATTTAAAATTCTGCTTTTTGCCAGAAAATCAACTGGAAATACAAGGAAAAAGTAATTAATTCACTATTTCTGTATTTAAGAAAGAAGTATTTACTGTGTTTTTTAATGGTGACTTTTGTGTACACTTTTTCATTACATGAGTTCTCTTAGACTGGCTTCGAAAGATTAAAATCACAGCAGAGGAATTTCCAGACTTCTGTACTTCCAGTCTTTGTTGATTGGGTTCTGATTTGTGTAAACCAGACTTAGCACTGTTACGCCTGAGAATGTGGTCCTTCTGTATTCTTTTTGTGCATGCTGCCCTTTAGACCCTTAGGAATTTTTCTGCACTGTTTCATCATGAGGTTTCCATCTGCTTTAAAAGAGTTGCTATACTAAAAAAAAAACCCACAAAACAGCTAAGTAGAAGCAATGGCATTATTAAGAAGCAATGGAAGACTTGGAGATTAAAAAAATGTGGAAGTGCTTCAGATTTAGATTATTTTTTCCCAGGAGGTTTAGTTACATTTACTAATAGGATTATATTTTTGCATGGCAGACACATATCAACTTGCCTTCAGCTTTCCACCCTAGAGCCACTGGCTTTTCCCATATTCAAATGGTTATGGAAGAGAGAAATAGAAAAAGAAAAGATATAATTTATCTCTTCAATCTCCATTTAAGTTGATTCATTTTGACACTGTATATTTTATTGGTGATTTGTATTCCTAAAAGCATCACAAGAGCCAGTGTAAACCCAATTTGCCCTCCAAATATATGTCTCTGTGAGTGTGTGTGTGTGTGTGTCTGTGCACATACACACATGCATATTTAAATACACATGACTGATGAGCAGATAGGGTAACAGGGCCTAAGACTCACCAATATCATTTGGAATCCAGAAGTGCCCTAAGCTTTGTCTAAGCACTACAGATGCCCCTGACAGGCAGCACTGAGGCCTTACAGTGTTTGCTGTGCAAAAGCAAATGCTGAGGCAGTGGCTCATAGCAGCAGGAAGATCTTGGGAGAAGTCAGAGCTCCCTGAAAGCAGCTTTGGGCTGGCTAATGCAAAGAGAAATAAATTTTACTAGTGGAAACAGGAGAGGACAGCAAATATTTTGATTTTATATTGCACCTCTCTTACTGAGGTTACTCTTCAGCAAGAAGCATAAATGATATCAAAAGCAAACCTTGAAGCTGATGTGCACTTAACAATACAGGATGGAGTACATAGGAAAGGTAATGATAGCCAGGGTTGAAGGTTATCTCCTGCTGCTTGGGGAAAAAAGGGCAAAACATTATACATGCTTTTAGACACCAGAGCAAAGAAGGTTTCCTCTTCCACTGCATAGCTGCAGAGAGAGACAGCCTGTCCCCAGAGCAAGGAAACCCCACAGAATGCCTGACAAAATCCACAGACCATTCAAGGATGAGTCCAGCTCCAGGGCCTGAATTTGCTGCTTGGGTCACCAAGGAGAGTGGTACCAGATAGATGACACCGTCATTTGTCAGGATCTCTAGCAACACCCATACTGACATAGCCATATGGTGGGGAAAGCCATCGAGAAATAGCATCACATCTTTAGAAACAGCATATGTGTCCCATGAAAAGGGCATTGAGAAAATACCATTTCTCTCACTAGCGAGGCTTAAGTGGTACTCCCCCAATACTTTAAGGTATCTTTTGCAAAAGTAACAAAAGTTCTTCAGTTGTTGGTTACTACCCAATGTAATCAAGGCAGTCAATTCTGAAATGTCAGAGGCTGTAATTACAAATTCCCATTTTCACAACAAGGTTTTAGAAATGAAATTTTATTGAGATTTAGCGAGATTCTTTCATGTAGGAGAGCAAAATGCATAATGTCCAAATCTCTGAAATGCATTTTTTTTTGCTGGACTTCCTTTGTAAATGCCTCTGTGGCTTTCAATGAGTGGCAAAGGTAGAAAAGAGAGGGAATTAAACACTTTACTGCTCTGAATGGATGAATGAGCAAGAAGTTGTATTTCCAAAATGGATATTGATCATCTTTATATACTGAAATCAGTACAATTCAAATGTTCATTTGATTAAAGAAGGGCATGAATATTTCCTCATTTCTCTGTAGAAGTCAAGCTCCCCCCCAGACAGGCAAGGTCTGTTTCATAGCCCAGGACCCACAACTGCATATATAGGCTCGTGTATGTCAAGGAACAGAGAAAATTCAGCTATTTCCTTATCAGTTAAACTTTGCAGCAGGGATAGCTGGAGATGATCTAGTACAGAATATTTCACACTCTGTTTAAAAGGAGGTTTTTGGAGAAAAACTCTCGACTGAATGAGGCTGACATTCCACCTTGCTGCCTAGGCTTTCACCCCGGCCTGGGAGAAATTTTTCAGAGAGGTTTGTGCTTGTCAACTTTTTATGGAGTACTTGGTGTAAGGAAGTGAAGGAAGTGCGCTATTGTTTCATAAAGCCAGTTAATAACCTTAGTCTTGAAGCAAAAACTATTGCCTAATTTTAACCTGTGGTTAAAAATGTAGATCAGGCATGTTTCTGTCTAGATTTTTCTAAAGTCTGACCACCTCATTCTGCTCACTGGTTTTGGTCTGTCAGGGTCATTTACCACATGATGCTGACTTCCACACACTAATGATAAATAAATTGGAGAAGTATTTCTGTTTGTGAATTTTGAATTTGTTGGCTTTCAGTTTTATAAAGTTGTACTTTAGTTTGCTTTTAGCAGCACAAAGGAACATCCCATTCAGTCTCACATGAAATTCTATACACTGTAATTTT